GCTCAGATGAGGGGTACAAACTGTACCCACAAAACCATGGATAGCTAATGGCCACTTAGGAATCAGCTTCTGACACCCTTGGCCTCACTGTCAGAGCCTCTTATCAGCTGAGTTTGGCCATCTTGTTTTGAAAATTATAATTCAGATCCCTAAGACAGTCCAGAGTAGCTGGTTCTGCTTGTCAGTATTAATTATTTTTGCTCTACCTGTCTTGCTTGCTTGATTTTCCCTTTTATTGAGTTATAATTATGCACAGTCAGATGTACAGTCTTCAGTGTAGAGTTCAGTTTCGACACATGCATGTATTCTTGTAATCTACATCCCTTTTCATTTTATTTTTAAAATCTTGGACGCCTCTTAAGTGGTGAACATTTGGATCCAAAGACAGATTTCTGGACAGGAATCCCCTATTCAGTTCACTGACTGCCCCCTGTCTCCCCCATTTTTTTTTTATCCAATCCTTTCCTGAGTTCCCCAATCACCACAGAGGACTTAAAGCCCTAAGAACATTTTGTAATCCCAGCTTTCTGAAACCTAACAGAAATTTTGTCATCTGAAAACAAGGGAGAGATTAGTGAAAAATTTGATTCTGACAACAGCAGCAAGGAACCAGCTAGGCCAGAAACGTCACAGAGAATTAATTCAAGCACCAACATGCAAATGCTCCACAACCTTTTCCAAGACTCTAAACGTGACATACAGTCCTGGTCAGGAAAGATCAGGTTTTTGTTCTTGTTTTTGTTTTTTATCCTCACCCAAGGACATTTTTCCATTTTTTGTTCAGACAGAGTGGGAAGGAGAGAGAGGAAGAGAGAGAGAAACATCAACGTGAAAGGGACACATCGAGTGGCTGCCACCTGCACGACCAACCAGGGCTGGGGACAAACTGCAACTGAGGTACACGCCCTTAGTGGGAACCGAACCCAGGTCTCTCTGGACCGCAGGCCGTCGCTCTAACCATTGAGCCAAACCGGCCAGGGCAGGAAAGATCAGTTTTTAAAGGAATTTGCTACAGGGACATGCCATTATTAAATTGAGATATGTTCAGTGAGAGATCCCTGTACATTTTAAGAATTTTGTCCTTAACCCTGTCTTACTCCTTCTGAGTGGATTCTCTTAGAAATGAGACATAAAGACAGCTAAACACACTGTTCTCTCTATCCTAGACTGATGTTTGGTCCCAGACCCATCTCCTCTATTTTGTTGCCCTCATCAGCAAGGTGGATGTCTCTCCAGCACTCCAAAACAGCTCTTGAGCGTAACTTTCACCCAAGGTTATACCGTCAAATAATAACATTAATTGTTTAATAATTACAAGTTGTATAACACTTAGAGGCAAGTGAGAGGCTGTATGAGAAAATGCTTTTAAAGCTATAAAGGTATATACAGCCCAAAAGCATTATTTAAAACTTGTTTCTATGTGGCAGGACACTTGGCAGTAACTGTATTCACATTATGTCTCACAGACAGGCAAGCCGTTCTCATTTCCACACCCAGGATTTATAGTGGTATTTCCGAAGTATTTCCTGAGTCTGACCCGGCCTCTGCAGTTAGTCTTTCTTACCTTCCTACCAGACCTAAAATTCATTAAGAAAGGGACTGTGTTTACTTATTTCCTGCTCTGTTCCCAGTGCCTACCACACAGTGGGTACTCAGTTTTGTTAAATGAATGAACCTAATTTCCTAATTGGTTTTGTCTTCAGTGTCCTTCTAGTCTACTCCACAATGAATCAGCATTATCTTCAGAAATACACTTCTGCTTATGTCCTGTGCACACTCAAAATCTTCAAGGACTATCATCTATAGAATAAAGGATCAACTCCTGAATTTCACCTTCAAGATCCTTCACATGCCCTGGCCAGTTTGGCTCAGCGGTTAGAGTGTTGGCCTGCGGTCCAGAGAGACCCGGGTTCGGTTTCCGCTAAGAGCACGTACCTCGGTTGCAGTTTGTCCCCGGCCCTGGTTGGGTCATGTGGGTGGCAACCACTCGATGTGTCTCTTTCACGTCAATGTTTCTCTCTCTCCCTCCCTCCCCCTCCTACTCTATCTGAACAAAGTATCAAAAAATATCCTCGGGTGAGGATAAAAAAAAAAAAGATCCTTCACAGTCCGGTTCCAACCACCTTTCGAGGCCTGTGTTCCAGCCCTTATTGCTCCTCCTCCCCAAGCCACTAAATGATTCCCAAGCACATTATGCAGTTTCACACTCCCAAGCCTTTACTTATGCTGTCCCCTCTGCCTGAAATGACCTTTCTTTTACCTTCCTTATTCATCTGGTGGAGTTTCTCTTCTCCTTCAAAATGCAGCTCAACTGTCACCTTCTCTACACCTTCTCCAACTCCCCTAAAGGTTCTGCACTGGTGATTCCATATAACCGAGCATGTCAGTCCCTTTATATTATGGTGGGTTTTATTCTTTTTGCTGCTGTTGTTGTTGCAAATTCTTTGAGAGCAGGGACTGGGTCTTACTGTAATTCTTTAAATATCTCCCAAATCTGATCACTTCTTACTACCTCTCCCACTATCACTGTAGTCCAAGCCATCACTCTCTCTCACCTCTTCCATGTGACAGCACCTGAGTGGCTCCATATTGCCACACTGCCATCCAACAGTGGACTGGCTGCAAAGCAGCCAATGATCCGTTAACAATGTAAACAACCATATGCCACTCCTTTACCACAGACCTGCTAGTCGTTTTTGTTCAGACTTGGGGAAAAAACAACGCCCTTGGCTCTCTCGCCCTTGCCTTCCTCTGGTTTCATCTCTCTCCCTCTCCCCCTTGCTCAGTCCAGCTTCACTTGTGTCTTTGCTTGTCCTTGATTATGTCAAGATGTTCCCTCCTCAGGACATTTGAACAATCTCCTCTCTGCCAGGAAAGCTCTTCCCCCGGCCGGATGTGTGTGGCTTGCTCCCTTCTTTCATGGTGCTCTCTGCTCACACGGTCCCGTCCTCAGAGAGGCCCTCCATAGTCACTGTCTAAAATAGCACTCTCCACTAAGCCCTCCTCTCTTACCTGCTTTATTTCTCTTAGCAGCATTACGTGCTGCCTGTTTGCCCTCATTAATTTTCCATGTGTTTATATAGATGTTTATCTGTTGTTGAGGTTAGAGACTGTTTTGTTCAGTACCCTACAGGTCCCTGGTACCTAGGACAGTGCCTGCCAATGAACAGTCACTCAAGTATTTGTTGAATGAATGGTTACATCTTTGTATCCTTGGTATCTAACACAGTGCCTAGTTCTAGAAATATTTATTAAGTGAATGACCAAATTAACACATTTTACAAATGAAATGGAATCCTGGCACGTGTCCAGGATTATCCAGGATCTGTGTGCACGTGTGTCACCCATCTGCCCCATGAACATAGTCTTGATTTCTTTCCTCTAATGTCATAGGTGATGTAACCAGGTTCTTCACTTTTTCAGGAACTAGTTACCGACAGAGGTCTCACCCAAGAATATTTCGGGAATTTCAAAAGAAACCTCTCGTGGCCCTGCAGGGATTGACAGTACCCTCAGCCCATTGCCTGTCATCAGCTCCTGAGGGATTCTGATAAGGGACTTTATCTCCTGTGATTTACACGGAGTGTACATTGTTGTTAATCCTGCCCAACACCGATTATTCTGAGGCTGGAACAGGTAAACACTGATTGACCCCAGACTCTGAGAGGGTGGATCCTTGCGCCTTCATATCCGAGTGGACAGTGCATGAGGCTTCAGGACAGTGGCACCGCAGCCTGCCTCAGGATTGTGCTATAGATACCTGAGTGGCTTTGATATGGCAATTCAGTCTCTAACAGGTGAGCTGGGGAACAATTTCCCATACCACCCTTGTTCACTTTGGCCTGTGGGCAGTTGCTCTCCCCCCCTCCCCATTTTTCTTAATTCCCTGCGTCTGGGTGTGTAAAAGAAGCCGACAGTGCAGAGAAGGGTAATCACTTGGCATGAGTGAAGTGTAGCACATTGGCAGTCAGCCCACCTATCCTTCTATTGAGGCTGAGGGTGACCAGATGCCCTATTCTCATGCATGGGTGGCATCAGGGCCAGAGACCAGAACAGGGAGAGCCTGAGAAGTTCACGCCCCAATCCCCTTCAAATCTCAAGTATCCTATTAATAAACAAGAGTGGTAAGTGGGGCCTCAAGGTGCAGAGGGACAGGACTAGTTTAACTGCGTGGGTGCCTTGTTCTAAGTACTGGGCTAGGCCTTTTATGTGCATGGTGTCATCAGATGTTACCACGAAGTTATGATTATTGTCTGCATTTTACAGAAAGGTTCAGAGAGGTTGATGATACTTGTCAAGTGACCCAGATGGTAAGTGGCAGGGCTGGGATACCATGAGCAGAAATTTCTCTGACATCTAGAAGGGCATGAATGTGAGGGGCACAAGAGCTGTAGGGGCATCAAATGGGTCCTACCTGAGACTTGATCATCACCAGGCCCTGCACGTCCAGGTTAAACAGTTGCCACCTGGCTTCGCTCCTGCTCTGAGAACAAAATTCTGTGGCTGATTTGCCAGGGTTATCCTGGTCCCACTCCATGGCCTTGGGACGGGATGAAGTGGCCACAGAGTGGAGCCTGTCCTTCCACGTCATTCTGGCTCCTGCGTTTGTAAGCGGTGATGTCATACAGTACCTTCATCCTCCTTGGGTCTTTAGTGTACTGCACCTCTGTCATCCTCAGTTCCAAAGTTGTATCCCCTGGGGAGTGCACCCCGCGTGCATTTCTGGAGGTTCCGGTGGTTCTGGGTTCCCGTGGGAGCCTCCAGGCATGTTAAGGGGCAGTTCAGGCGATACCGATGACTGGACATCTTTGGGGCCCTTCGCCAAACCCCTTCCCTTGTGCTCCCAGCTCTGAGCAGCAGCGCCCCCTAAGCCGCCAGGGCAGCCCGGAAGCGGGGCTCCTCGAGCGGGGCGGGGAAAGGGGCGGGGCGCAGCGCGGCAGTACCTGGGCCACCCGGAGCTGGGGGTGGGCTCTCGGGACAGCCTGCGGGCAACCCCCCCAGATCTGCACCGCCAGCTGCCTGGGAGCTCAGGACTCGGGGCTGCGTTGTCACATGGGTGGCGGCGACGGGGCCGCATTCAAGCGGCCCGGGTACGGTGCCCGCCTCCAGCGCGTCCTCGGGCTCGGCTCCCGCCGGACGCCCTGCTCTCTGCCCACCGGGGGCCCTGTTCCGCACCGCACGGTGCCTCCCCCGCCCGGCCATGCGAGCGCCGGCCCCGCTGCGATGAGCTCTCACATCGCCAAAAGCGAGTCCAAGACGTCCCTGCTGAAGGCGGCGACGAGCGGGAGTAGCCGGGTTCCCCGCCACGGCCCTGCCCGGGAGCCAGGGCTGCCCAGCCGCCGGCTGCCGGGCACCTGCCCTGGCACGCCGCCGCTGTCCGGGGACCCCAGTTTGCGGAGACCCCTGTGCCGGCCGGCACCGAGAGAGGAGGGCTCGCGGGGAAGCCGCCGCGGGCTCCCCCAGGCGCACTGCAGGCCCCGGGAGGCGCTGCCGGCCGCGGCGTCCCGACCTTCTCCTCTGTCGCCGCTGCCGCCGGCCCGCAGGCGGGATGGGGAGGAACGGGGGCTGTCCCCGGCGCTCGGTCCCCGGTGCTCGCAGCGAGCCCCGGGTCGTGGGGTCTCCGCTCCAGCTGCCGCGTCCGAGGCAGACCCGTTCCTCCACCGGCTGCGCCCCATGCTCAGCTCCGCCTTTGGCCAGGTAAGGGCCGCGCCTCCCGTCCACGCTTGCTGGAGAGGCGCTCGGGACCCTGCCGCGGCTGCGCACCCACAGCCCTCCTCCTGCTGCCCTGGGCCCTCGGGTCACGCTCCCCTAGTCCTCCTGCAGCTCTGTGCCCTTGCCCGCGCTCCTCCTCCCCGGTGCCTGATTCAGCACCCTGTGCGCTGTCCACGCTCGGGGCCTCTTCGGTGCGAGACACCACCGCATAGCCTCCTTCCACCTGCCAGAACGGGCCAGTCCTGAAAGGGATCAATCTCCACAAGCCACCTGGAGTGCAGGGGTCACCTAGGGGCACTCTGAGCAGGTGGCGCCAAACCCACTCCTCTGGACTCTGGCCAAGACCACCAGTGAGCAACTCAAGACAGCAATGGGTTTGGAGTCTTGGGGGTCAAGAGTGGGGGACCTGGGGCATCCCCAGCCTTGCTTGGGGATGAGGGACCCTAACCATTGCCTGTGGTGGCCACAAAGACCTGGGAAAAGTTAGGAGAGCTAAAATATGAGAAGAGAGAAGTGTCTGGGTAGGCATGAACGTAGGTACAGAGCTATTGCTCAAACTGGAACTTTGGGGTATTTAAAGCATGTTGCCACTTTCGGGATGCTGTTAGGATGGCAGTTGGACAATGGTGAGTCAGAAGATGTGGAACAATACCCAAAGACTCCTAGCTTGAGTTGGTGTGCATTCTAGGGTCAGAAAGGTCACGAAGGAGTCAGCAGTGGCTCCTTTGGTTTCCTCTGGGCCTTTTTCTCAAGGGTCCCAGGCAGATGGACATCTGCCCTTTAAAAACAGCCCTATAGTAATAATCCAGTTTGAGGGTGTACTGCTGGGGAGGGAGGCTCAGCTGAAAGGAACCTGTGAACTGAGCAAAGCCAGGGTAGTTCTGAGTTCCTAATTAAATCAAACGCACTGACACAGCCCTGAGACAGTTCTGCGGCAGCCAAGCAGGGGTGTAATGCAGAGGTCTGATCAGACTGTTTGCATGGTGTGTGGGGGGAGGAGGGGAGGCTGAGCCTTTCTGTGCTAGGATGTAGCGTAAAGAAGCTGTTTTAAGCTCCTGGCTTGACATGCTGGATCAGAATTCCAAGGAGGCCGTGTGTGTTTTGCTTCAGATCTATCTGCACATTCCTTTTCAAAATACTACTTCACAGCGGCTGATGCTGGCGGAAGTCTGACATGAAGGCAGCTGCACATGGATTTGGGTTGCATGGGGCTGCTGTGGTGGAGCGATAGGGCACTGGTGTGTGGCTTTGTTTCTGCGGGGAGCCCTCATTAGCTGAGTTAGCTGGAAACAGTTCTCCAGTGTAGTGATTTGGATGCAGAGCTGTGAGAGTTAGTGAGCAACGTGTTGAGGGAGAAGTTCACTGCAGTGGCTTACGTATTAGTGAGGAGTGTAGAGTGTTAGGGTATTGCTCAGGCACTGAGAGACGGTGAGACAACAGTGAATAAGATAGCTTGGGTTCTGGCTCTTCTGGAGCTTACAGTTTAGCAGTTTGGAAGGGTAGGTTATTGGCCCAGAACACTCACTTTCTGGTTATTTAGTTTGCTAGTGATCTGACTTCATTCCTGGGAAAAGAGCCCTTTCTTTCCAGTCTTGCTGAATTTGCCTGCATGGGCCCTTTGTGAGCTCAGAGCATCTCAGCTACCTGCTTTTCTTCATGCGTCTACTTTCTCAGTCATTAAATGAAGAGTATTCTCCAGCCCAGTGTTCTGAAATGTCACCAGAGTCATCTGAGTCAGGAAGAGCTGGAAGGTCCCATCAAATATTTACTACCTCCCTCTGGAAGCTCTTGCCTCTGGAGCTGCGGACTTTTTCTTTAAAGCTCCGGCACGTTCAGTTTGGTCTTCCTGCTGACAGCTCTAAGGCATCTGCTCGAACAGCAGCAGCAACAACAAAACCTGGCCTGGGACTTTTGAGTCAGTCTCCAGTCTCCTGCCATGGAGGAGAAATATAAGTCTTTCTTTCCCTTCTTTTTGCATTGAGATTTCCTGTCCTTAGAGACAGGGTCAGGGCTAAGAGAAGGGAAATGGGCTTCTGAATACAGAAACGTTCAGATAAGATCTGCTTAGGCAAAATATAACCCTGGGGAAGTATATTTGTCAGGTCTCCCAGATTCACCTTTTTTAACCTTAAGTGACTCAACCTCATTAAGCCTGTTTTTCTTTCTTTTTTCTTTTTTTTTTTATCCTCACCTAAGGACATTTTTCCATTTTTTGTTCAGATAGAGTGGGAGGGAGAGAGGGGAAGAGAGAGAGAGAAAGAGAGAGAGAGAGAGAGAGAGAGAGAGAGAGGTGAAAGGGACACATCGAGTGGCTGCCTTCCACACGACCCAACCAGGGCCGGGGACAAACTGCAACCGAGGTATGTGCCCTTAGCAGGAACCGAACCCGGGTCTCTCCGGACTGGACCGCAGGCTGATGCTCTAACCGCTGACCCAAACCGGCCAGGGCAAGCCTGTTTCTTTATCTGCAAAATAGGGACAATCATAGTACCTCACCAGGTTTTGGGGGAGATTAAATGGGATAAGGTGATATGTACAGAGCTTGGCCCAGTGTATGCCCTAGACCAAAGACTCTATCAATGTTAGTCATTATTATGGCTGTTGTTGTTAACTACCAAGGGCTGTGTCAGGTTGTTTTCCTTGCATTTGTAATAGAGTCAGGGAGAGCCAGGGTTCAAAGTGACTCTGGCCCTGGCCAGTTTGGCTCAGCGGTTAGAGCGTCGGCCTGCGGTCCAGAGAGACCCAGGTTCGGTTCCCGCTAAGGGCACGTACTTCGGTTGCAGTTTGTCCCCGGCCCTGGTTGGTCGTGCGGGTGGCAGCCACTCGATGTGTCCCTTCACGTCGATGTTTCTCTCTCTCTCTCCCTTCCTCTCTCTCTCCCTCCCACTCTATCTGTACAAAAAATGGAAAAATATCCTCGGGTGAGGATAAAAACAAAGTGACTCTGAAGGTACCATGATAGACTCCTCCATTAGAGGGAATAGAAATAGAGTTCTTCCAGTGACCTCACAGAGCATCCTTATTGCCTGCAGGGAGACAGTGTGGTTTTAAGGCTGAAGCGTGGGGTGATGGCGTGGGGTGGTGGCGTGGGGTGATGGCGTGGGGTGATGGCGTGGGGTGATGGCATGGGGTGATGGCGTGGGAGATCGTAGAGCTGCAGGTCCCAGTCCCAGCTCAGTCATTGCCTATTGCCATGACCTTGGGCCTCTTGTTTTCTCTTTTGGTCTGGGTTCATCCAGAAATGAGATTGACAAAAACTACCTTTCGGAGTTATTATAAGGGTTATACAAGGTGAAGTATGTCAAATGGTCTGGCTCAGAGTGGGTGCTGGGAAAAGGGCAGCCTTCATTAACGTTATTACTGTTACTTATAGAGTAACTGTTTGAATGAGGGCCTGTACTTTGACAGCTGTCTCTGAGCCAGGTGAGGGAGGCCATTAAAGGAAGGAGTTGAATGACAAAGGACCTTTCCTAGTACCCTTTTTGTGGCTGGCTGCATACATGTCACCCTGCAGCCTAGAGAGAAGATGTGGTATCAGAAATTAACTCAGAATAGACATGCCTTGGGGCAACTCTTGACAATGGGTCTTGGAAAACTATTTTAAGAACAGTCTTTCTACTCCTTACCCTAAATTTGGGAAGAAACATCCCTGTAGAGGAGGCAAATGCAAGTAAAACCCACAGCTCTGCCCCCATCCTTCTTTTTCTAGCCTATAGAGACATCTCTTTTGATTTGGTATGCTATTCCTATTCCCAAGCTGCTTTGCACATAGTAGAATCACTGTGATCCTGTATCCTAATGAGAGAATGAATGAATGAATGAATTAATTAATTAATATCTCCAGCCTCTAGACTGTGGAGGTTTCTTAGATTTTATAATTTAGATGGGGAGAGAGGCCATGATGGTTTGGGTCATAACAGATTTAGTCACACTAGGCCTATGTTTCTAGGATGAGGGCTGTGTATAGTGATCATTCCTGCCCAGCCAAGTCTCTCTCTGCTGCTCTCTGAGAGGGCTGGTAGCCCCATTGCCTTTTCTCTGGGACATGAGGAGGTCAGTTTGTGGTTAGCATCAATCATAGAGAGTCCCCCAGGATGTCTGCATTTGCCTCTAGTTTTGGGAAAGCAACAAGGGTACTTGAGACCTTAGTCTAGAGCCCACTAAACAACTGACAAAGTATCTTCTCATTATCTTATCTTCACAGCAACCTGTGAAGGTTAGCATTATCTTTCTCATTTTAAAATGTTCTTTATTGATCCCAGAGAGAGAGGAAAGGAGAGGGAGAGAGAGATAGAAACATCAGTGAGAGATAGAAACATCGATGAGAGAGAAGAACATCAATTGGCTGCCTCCGACACCCCCCACTAAGTATCAGGCCCACAACCTGAGCATGTGCCCCGACCGGGAATCGAACCGGCGACCTCTTGGTGCATGGGTCGACTCTCAACCACTGAGCCACACCGGCCAGGCTCTTCTTCCATTTTAGAGATGAGCACAGAGACTCAAGAGGGAAGTGTCTTGCCCAAAGGGCACACAGGACTGTGATGTGGTCTGCCTGTCTCTGAACAACCTGCCTGTGCCACACCATGCTGGTTTGGTGGGAAGTCACTTAAGTGTGTTTTCTGTTTGTCAGAAGTAACCACAAAGTACAGCTCAAGTTACGACCCAGCTTTCCCTGGGTGTCTTAGCACTGGGCTGCCATCCAGGTTCAAATGCGGGTGATAGAACTGATCAAGGCCAGTGAAGGCCAGTCTCCCTCCTAATCAGGAATAATCAGCAATGGGTTTATCCTTCTCATCCCTCTGATCCTATTATTCCATTCCAGAACTCAAAGTGTGGCTTCTGTAGGCTGGGGACTGCTGCCACAGTGAATAGGGATGTGGAGGTGGGGCTGTGTGATGTGCTTTGCTCCTTCCAGAAGCTCCCACCATTCAGGTCTTTAAAAATTGTTCTGCTAAAGGTCAAGCCATCTGCCCTTTCCAGAT